TTTGCCACCTTTCAGCTGAAAATCTGAAAGCGCTGTTTCGTGTAGGTATTCAATCAACTAAGTAATCAGGATTAAAATGGAACCTTTGTTTTTGGCAAACACTCTCTTGCACAGACCGCAAACGCCCAATGTTACTGCAGCTTAAATGCAGCATTAAAAGTACAGGCAGCAAACAGTGAAAAAATTAAGAACAACATATTTGGGGTAATCAACTGTCGGAACATTCATTCTACCTATTAATTAATTTCAAAAACAAAGTACTGTAGGATTGAAATAATTTCCAATCATGATTGTTATATTGTATTGAAAGCCAAAAATTAAGGACGTTCTCTATGAAAATTGATTATATTCGGTCGCTGATAAGAAAAGAAATGAACATTGTCAGGGGTCGCAGCCCGCGGGGCAGATAAACTCGTTACAGCAAGATACTCCACCGACGGCATTACAACCCGGCTGCGGCAGCCGCACGCCAAGGCGCACGATATCCCTGTAATCTCATTGTAGACTCCCAACCCCGTCGTTTCCGATTCCTTCCTAAATTACCTTTTCTTGATCGACAATCTAATTCGTTACAACATAAAACGCTTTTGCCACAATTTACGATACTCTTCCTCTATTTGGAAAACAACGGTAGGAGACATTTAAGCTGGAGGTGTTGGGTTTGCATGAAGCACGTAGCACCACGTCGACGCCGCTAAAAGCTTCTTGTTGACGTAGCGTTCGATTGAAGAGGCATGAACTACGTCTTGTCCTTGTAATTGATTGCTTTGTCGCGTAATTTGTTTGTCTACGCTGCCGGGCGGAGCGTGCGATTCTCGCGGGAGCACTGAGCTCTCGTCATCTTCTTCGTAAATAATAAATAGCATCGACGGCGAGGTGGCGACCGTCCGTGTGTTGATCGCCTGAGAGCTTTCGCACCATCACTGTGCCCATTATTACAAAATTGTAATAGCTACCAAATTTCAGGAAACCCAATTAATTCATGCATCAAATGAAACGTTTTGTCTCAACGTGTGCATTCTATTTAAACGAATGCTTAAAAACTACTTATACCTATCTAATTTCTTTGGATTGTTGAGATATTTTCATTTATAGGTTGGCCTGGCCATCCATGGATATTATTTCCGATTTCTGCAATATTAAGATTAAATACATATTTTTAAAACTGACTGTATGTTTGTACCTGTGTACCTGTACATTTTTAAAATTATCTAACATATCATAAATTTCAAATGATTCCATCGATTACATTTTGGAAATTTAATTTATTTAGGTCTGATTTTTCCCAACCCAGATAAATTTTAATCGAGGAATAATTGAATATTTTAAAATTATTTCATACTAAAAACTGTCAAATATCTATTGATTACATGATGATAGAAAAATCGGCCCTTAATTGAATTCTATCAGGTTGACACGTTTTACGAAGCGTTTTTTTAAACACAAATAACTATAAGTTTTAAAAACGATTTCGTATTGGTTGCCAAACGGAAAAGTTTAAACTGGTGGAAGATAACTATTGGGGAGTCATCTAGCTTGAAAAATTGCTAGTGTGAAAAATGTTCTTAAGTAAACAAGTTAAGCGGCATACTGTAGGCACGTAACACAGCAGGAGTTTTGTAAAAATCAAATAGCGTATCGTAACGTCGTGGCGGGCTGAGCCGCAGCAGCGTCCGGGTTGAGCTGAGCACGACCGCGTGTTCCTTCACTAATAACCCCGTAATTGGTATCGAAGCTCGCCGCAGCCGGATTACTGAACGTCTAATTGAATGCGAGACGCTTACTCGCCGCCGCCTCCTCCACTGCCACCTTGCAGTGACACAGTAGTTCGAGCGACTTCATTTTGTTGCGGTCAAGTTAGTCTGTTTTGCGCACGTGTACAGGCCGCGCTTATCGTCCTCGCCCACAGTTCAATTACAGCGTCCCAATGAATTAAATTGCCGTTGGATTCGGGAAGCCGCACCACGAGATCAAACGTTATTCACTCGCCTCCCCTTCTCCGATCCCAACGAACAAGACTTTTAGACTTACCCGTGGCGGCAATGTAAACTTTACGACGTTAGATAATCATTCCATGTCAATTAGCTAATGAAAAATAAAATAAGCTTGGTTAATGTACCAACTCCGTAATTAAAATTATGGTGATGACTCGCCATCTGTTAAGCTTTAGCTTAAAATAATTACGTTTCTCACCTGATCATACGATAACTACGCACTTTATTAAGTAACTGTTTTAATGTACAAGTTACTTATTATAAACTTATAAGGATCGATTTAAATAAGAATTGTGCATTTCAATTTCAACCACACGTTTGTTTCTAGGTAGAATGTATTCCATTAAGAACAATCCAATCAATCCAACCAATTCTTATCATCAAATGATTGTGATCTACAATTTAATGTAGGTACTATAAACGAATTTAATGTTGCAATATACTAGTACATATTATTAGCGCAGTTTATACGTGTGTGAATATATTAGAGGACAGAAAGAGTGGTCCGAGCAGTGCGCGCTCTACAATCCCACTGTGTTTACACTGATCACACTCAGAAAGGCCTGGAACAGAGCCAACTAATCTCTTCTCAACAGGTAGGTCGTCTGCACGTTACTAATGACATCACACTCTATACCTACTGCTCTGATTCATTTCATTCAAAAATGTTCACCTTGGTTACTAAATGTATTTTAATTTGTTTTGTAATGTATTTCGAAATATACGGGCTTTTCTTCGATTACATAACTAAAATAATAATTAATTTTTAAAGAAACAAATCTTATTTCTATGCCATCAAAGTAAATCTGTGTTTATAAATTAGATTAGCTTAAGAATGCGATCAGACTCGTAGTAGCATGTGCGTTGGACAGCGCACGGCTTGTTATTAACTTTTTAAACGATTGTGTTAATTAGCGCACTTCACGAGGAGTCGCCCTCCAGCGCTGCACCGCACTGTGCCGAGCAAAAAACAATAAACGATACGTTCCGCTATTAATTAAACCGCTATACGATGCACGTTTGCTTCACCAATAAGCGTGCGAGATGGCAAATACAATTAAAATATCTGCTTTGAACCCCTACGCTAATTGAAGTTTTTACATCTGTAAAACGGTGTCGCTGTAGTAAACATGATGTTTTATTGTTCTGTTAAACGAGATGGATGAGTAAGTATATCAATACCGGAACTTTTTATATTCTACTAAAAAACTTCAAACTATTTATCTTTATTTCATCCAATCCCGACAGCTCAATAAACGAGGATACATTAATTAATTAATTAGTTTACGTAGGTACTTATAGCCGTTTTGGGATTCCGTGAGTATTTGCTGACATTATATAGGTTGGCAGTGTCACGTCATGTTGTAATCCATTTCACGCTAATATTTCTTTTTTACAAAATCTATACATATAATAAAAAATGTTTTTCTTTAAAAACGTTGCCCCACACTAGGATTTTCCCCTGTGTTGTGGGTGCGTTTACAGACATACAAGGTCACATACACAATGACACCTAGACCCAATAACAATTATGCACTTAGTACATTGAAAATATAAAAAAAAATAGTAGGGGTGTTACTAAATAGACTAAAATAATTTTGTCTGTCTGTATGTTCACGCATCACGTATAAACTACCAGTCCGATTACGATGAAAGTTGGTATGATTATACTTTAATATCCTGCCTGGGCACAACACTGTTTTTGATGACTGTTTATCCCGAAAAAGTAGACATACGAAAAAATTAATTTAATTGTGCGGCTCAATCCCTAGACATAGTTACTGTACCAAACGCAAATATAAGTTTTTCGATGTTAAGTTGCTATCAGTGGACTTTACGCTGTAACTGTAGGGTCATTGGTTGAAATTGAAATATTGAACCGATATTATAAATGTGAAAATATGTGAGTTTATGTGTTTATTTGTTACTGAGTCATATTGAAACGACTGAAGGGACCGGGATGAAATTTGGAATAAAGGTAGATTATGGTCGGAACTTCTGAAGTAACACATAGGCTACTTTTTGTCCCTGGAAATGGGCGAAGACGCTGGAAGAAGCTATTACCAATAATTAACTCGAATTGATAAACGAATGTAGATTTAATAAAGTAATATTTAGATTTGATGCATGATTTGGATCGAACCTTGATTAGAGATTCACACAATAATTTCATGAAAATCGATTCATTATTTACGATTTATTTGAAATTTGTCACAAAACTATATCTAATTATTATGTTCCGGCTTAATCACGTAACTGTTTGACGAGGAACTTGATTAGTTCCAAGCCTAAACATGTTTTTTTTTTTCAATTATAATGCATTATAATATAATATGTGTAATAAAGTAGTGCTTACGAAATTATGAGCCTTATCTCAAGTGACACTTCGATTTAAATACCAAATGTCACACAAGAACCATCAAAACACATAACGACTATATGTAGGTACATAAATACTCGCACAGTAATGCTCCGTGTTACTAATTTTACTAGTTAATAAGAAGCACATGCAAGGCGAATGGTTTTACATGAAAATCAACATTATTTTATCCATATGATGTCTACTATGGAACATAGCTTTCCGTCAATACCTTCTAAAGTATATGCTGGACAGCCGTACTAAAAAAATAAAAAGCAGTATACATGGTCAACTCATGGAAAAAATGTGTTCGAAAAACAACAGAAAAGTAGTGTTGTAAATGCCTTTGACAGGGAACAATAGTTATTTGCGAGTTCGCATTTTCTGTTATTTAGCGCGTTGAAATGGTACTAGGAAATATGACGGTAATGCTTTCGCTGGTTTTATTTGTAGCGTTTTTATGTAAAACTTTCATCAATAAAAATAATTGCAGAAGATCCACTACGCTTGCATAGTATTTTTCAAGGTTTTATTTAAAAAAATAAGGTAAAGGAATAAAATAAGCCTTATACGAATAAAATAAGCATTTTTTGTGTATTGAAGTTATGTGTACTGTGTAAATAACATATTATTTTTATTTGTTACAGCAATTGTTCCGGTCTCAACAAGCTGCTGCAGCGGGTGGCCAGGCAGCTGCAGCTCAATTGCAGCTTCTGCAGCAACAACAACAGCAGCAATTTCAATTACAACAACAGTTAGCAGCCCAACAGGCTTTTACACAAGCACCTTACGTTATCAATGCTGGTCAGGAGGGTGCACCTTACGTGAGCGCATTAATAGCGGGCGTGCCGCCGTACTATGGAGTCGCTGCGCCGTGGGGCGTGTACCCCGGCCTCGTAGCACAACCCGCACAACAGCAAGCACAACAACCGCGACGGCCACTGACTCCTCAGCAGGGTGAGCAACAAGTGAACGGCCAGGGACAGTATGTGATCCCCTACTATGATCCGGGCTCACTTGTAATGGGTGGACGCAACGGCACGCCCTTGCGGCTAGTGTCACCGGGAGGCGTACTAGCGCCGCGCCAGTACCAGCCGGCGCCCGCGCATCCAGCCGCTTCTGCCGCGCCACCGCAAGCAGCGCAAACCCAACAGCCGCAGCCTGGTAAGAATCCTTTTCATTTGCATTCACTTCAAAAAATCTGACACTCACTGTTGCATCTTTTGTATGTAGTGGTGACTTATGTTACAAAATGCACTAGTTATTTTTTATCTACGATATCATGATGTACTCATGTACTGGATTATACTGGCATAATATGTATGTATGACTGGATAAATCATCGACAGAATTTAAATTATTATTTCAAATTCAAAATCATTGAAACCAATACATCGGATACTGTCAGTGTCAGTCAACCTATGTGATGTGCAACTGTCGCTTTTTGTATTACAAAAAGAGAAAATTTAATCTATCGTTATCTACGATGCAACGATTGTATCACTATCACTGCATATAAAATACTGTGACAATGAGTTCTCCTAGTAAATTAAATTAACAATGTACATATTAATAACATTTGCATTGAATAACCAACAAATAATATACATGTTATTTGCGCATGGTGTTATGATATACATAATGGATTCCAATATCTTTGGAATCTGAGTGATTATTATAATTCTCTGTAGAATTTTTACACATCTCATATAAAATATAATAAAACATTACCTAGAAATAAGGTATTTAATAGTACTTATTTATTATTTATTTAATTATCTTTTCATTCGTTTCGGTAAATAGTAGTTTCTTTAGATCTGCTACCAAAACCATGTTTATTGTGTAGATATACATAGATAGACAGATACCTTTTAACACACTCGTCTTCTTTACTAATATACTATTAATTGACTGCTTCATGAAGATTTTGCCTGTTGAAGTTTGCATCATAGTTTTATTTAAGTTTAATCTACAATGGCGTTGTGTATTAACTCTGTAAATATTTAATACATACTTTTCGTTTATGGCTAATTTGTGCATAGCTATTTAGTTTTTATTGTGTAAATTAGCGTGTAACTTCTAAGATACGAATTAATCATATATGTACGATAATTAAAATTTAATCTTATATATTGTTTTAAACCGAATATTTCTCGTGTATACTCATAGGACAAGCAATTATTTTGGTCGTGTAGTGTTAAGGGTTTCTATTAATATTCTAGGCAATGTAAGTTTGTATACTTAGGTAAATCGCTATATTCCTTGTTTTGCAATATACATAGTACATATATATGCATATACAATACATAGTCTTACAATACCATGTTAAATTGGTTCTTTTTTTCGATGGAAATTAGAATTGCTACTCTCTATCGGAGCAGATAATGTTCACTACATATAAAATAAAATGCTTAAGTGGGAGAACTTGTGTACGACTACAAGGATATTATTATTTTTTAAGTTTTATATCGTCCAAATCTTTTATTTATTTATTAAAAATCACATCGCGATGACGGCATAATTTGATACAATTTTCATGATTTATCATTCTATGATTAATCGAATTGTTTACCTTCGTTGTCTTATCTAACGCAGTACTGTTTCGTCAAGTATAGAATTCTTATTTATTTTATTAATAGCGTGATCTCAGTTTCTAGAGGCTCGCTTGAGTCTAACCCCTTTCAAACTTTTATCTATATAAATTGGATAATTGGGTTTATTCTTTTACACACACCCAAAACCAATGATCGTCAATAAAAATATCTTTTTGTTTATATTCCTCTTAATTTTCTTGCTTTGCACTACAATCATTTTCACATGTTGTGCAATATATTTTTTGAATAAATTGTATTTGTTATTGGTAGGACGGTTGGGTGATCAAGTAGTTACTGTTTTCGTTTACAGTCTGATTCTGATAATGCGGGTGTGTAATGTATGCTTGTAGAGAGAAAGGTACAGCAATATTTCACGTGGTGGTGGCGCGCGATTTACCTACTGCTCCCTGACGAATTTTACAAGTCCTTGGAAACAATTTAAATGGTTTGATATTCGAGTAAATTAAATCAAATAAAGATTACTTATCCTAAAACAAATCAGCAATTCTTCCGGGATAATAATGTACTATTCCATGAATTGATAGATCTGTGATGTCAAATTTGAGTGGCTCTAACTTGGTTTTTGTATCATGTATCTCTTATTGTGTCTGCACGATACCTGTATTTGTGAGTGGCGACGCGTCGGCAGCGCGTTGACGCGTTGGCTGGCACAGCACGGTAGGTCTGGAGCGCGGAGGTATGTCCTGTTGCAGGCGGAGCGACGCAGGCTCGGCGTGACTCGCTGGAGTTTGGCGGCGGCGGGCCGGCTGCGGCGCTGCAGGAATATGCGGCACGCAAGTGGGGACCTTCGCCACTGTCACCGCCGCTGGGCGCCGCGTTGGGCCCCGTGGGGCTCCGGCCAGTGTCCGCCGCACCCGGCGCTGAGACCGCCAAGTACAGGTGCACACCCGCACGCCTTGCGCTCGCTCACTGCGTCGCCGCACTTCGATTGTCATTGTTACACCATATCTTTGAAGAGTTTAGCCACGTTCATATTCTTGTTCTCTGTGAACTCTGTTATTAGAAAACATAATTATCCTAAATCCTAAAGTATAATAATTACCTTGATGTCTCTGCAGACTTATCGCAAAGTAAATAGACAGGCATGCAAAGTAAATAATGAAACCGATGCCACAAGTGCCTATTGAGTAAATATATTTTTCAAATAGAACCAAAACGGTTAGATGCTAAATCCTCTATTTACATGATGATAAATAGTTTCAAAATATCACCTATCCTATCGGATGCGCGGTGACGCTTTGCGTGGGCTCACATATTGTATATTGTAAATACTTGTATGCCATCATTGTTTATATAAAACCTCAGGCGTAAAAATTGTACAGATACTGCCAACAGCAGCGTTTATGCATGATCTTTTAGATGAATACTACCATATACGTGCTTCATATTATAATTGTTTTCTTGAATTGTTGTATACTTTATTTCAGAGCTGTGAGCAGTTTAGCGCAAGGTCTCACATCAAACGGAATGTTTGGATCCTCTTCATCACTCCTCAGCAAACTCAGTGGAGTAGGAACTATATCAGGTTTGTACTCACAACACACTCACACATTGACCACTCACCAATTTGTACATTTTGTAAATAGCTTGTAATTTTGTGTATAATAACCACGACTGTATGTTTAACAGACCAAGTTTCTTAACAGAAAAAATATTGTAGTAATGTTTTAACGCAAGTTTATCGGTTTTAAAGTTAACTATATAAACTTCAATGAAAATAATGGCGATATAAATTGTTTAGTGTTATTGATCTGTTTTTGGGGGGTGTAACATAAAGTGATTCGTTTGCAGAACTGGTGGGCGGAGGCGTGGGCGTGGGCGGCGTGAGCGTAGGCGTGGGCGGCGTGGGCGTGGGCGCACTCGTCGGAGACAAACCTCCTGCAGGCCGTTCACGGCTACTGGAAGACTTCCGCAACAATCGCTTCCCCAACCTGCAATTAAGAGAACTTGCCAATCATATTGTCGAATTTTCACAAGATCAGCACGGCTCTAGGTACGATATTGTCGCACTCGAACATTACCTACTTTGCAGCACTTCCTTAATGTCGTTATTTTACCATTTTTAATAAATATTGCGATCGACGCAGACAATTAACCAGATTCGGCTGAAGCAGTTGCTATTTGTCCTCCAAAATCCGCTAATGCTGATACCGCATTCTTGTTAGCCCCATTGTTAGGTGTTTTAAGGCTTCATACAGCTATAACAACTGCCTTAGATGTTTATACGAAAACCAGAATCGTTGGACGTGCTCTCTCAAGTTCAGTGATTAAATACCTCGGGAATTCTGGATGCTGGGAGCTACTTATGAATATATTTTTTTTAAATTGATATATTGATATTGTTTGTGATGTCGATTTTTATTCTGTTAATACAACTTTATTCATTTTTCAAGTTGCTAGTTGCGCTACTGTAAAGGTTGTATCGTTACTAGACAATATGACCGTGAATAAGCAAATAGGGAAATACTTTATTTTCGTCGAATAAATTTTAATGAATCTAGCACGAAATTCGCAGATATGCCGAAATAATTAATCTCATACAATACTTTCATATTTTACAGTAAAAGTGTAGCAATACTATCTACCTTCATAGCATTGGTCCCCGCCTCCCTAATTAATTATCTTGTCTATCATTAAATAAGTATTTTTATTTATTGTTTTCTTTTCAGATTTATTCAACAGAAACTGGAAAGGGCAACAGTTCAAGAGAAACAAATGGTGTTTAATGAAATCATCGGCGCTGCTTATAGCCTAATGACAGATGTGTTTGGAAATTACGTCATACAAAAATTTTTCGAGTTTGGAACAACAGAACAGAAAACAACATTGGCACAAAAGGTATGAACAATATTCTTTTCCAATAACAGGGTTTACTAACCTACGACTTTTGGAATTCCAATGCTTAAGAAGACCAAAGGTCTGTCACAATGTCAAAGTCATTGGTTGTCTTTTGTTACTTTAAATTTGTATTGATATATGTAATGAAATACTGTCTTGTTTTATCAGGTTCGCGGGCATGTGTTAAACCTAGCATTACAAATGTATGGATGCCGGGTTATCCAGAAAGCGCTAGAGTCCATTCCGGCTGAGCAACAACAAGAAGTAGTGCGTGAGCTAGACGGCCACGTACTCAAGTGTGTGAAGGACCAAAACGGCAATCATGTTGTTAGTATACTCACTTGTATTAATGCTCAATATTCATACATTGGCCAACTTGACTTTTTTACTAATTCAAATATTTTGTTTTTAGGTTCAAAAATGTATCGAGTGTGTGGAGCCGACGGCTCTGCAATTTATAATAAATGCTTTCGCGGGACAAGTGTACGCATTGTCGACGCACCCCTACGGCTGCCGCGTCATCCAGCGCATCCTCGAGCACTGCACGGGCGAGCAGACCGCGCCCGTGCTCAGCGAGCTGCACGCGCACACGGACCAGCTCATCCAGGACCAGTACGGCAACTACGTCGTGCAGCACGTTCTGGAGCACGGCGCGCCCGAGGACCGCTCGCGCCTCGTCGCCGCCGTCCGCGGCAAGGTGCTGCAGCTCTCGCAGCACAAGTTCGCCTCCAACGTCGTCGAGAAGTGCGTCTCCCACGCCACGCGCACTGAGCGCGCACTGCTCATCGACGAGCTCTGTGGCTTCAACGACAAGTACGTACTGCAGCTAAATTACTTAATATTATAACGTTTCGATAGTTCATAGAAACCACTCCTGCGTTTTCGATCGCTCTCTTGGTCACTTCTCTAAATTGACATTATTTATTTTATTCGCAGTGCTCTCCACGTGATGATGAAAGATCAGTACGCGAACTATGTGGTGCAGAAGATGATCGACGTGGCGGAGCCGACACAGCGCAAGGTGTTGATGCACAAGATCCGGCCGCATATCGGGTCGCTCCGCAAGTACACTTACGGCAAGCACATCATCGCGAAACTTGAGAAATTCTTCATGAAAGCGCCGGAACTGGGGCCTATCGGGCCGCCGCCTCCGAACCCTGTGCTGTAGTCTGTGTAAAGTATTAAACGTCCGCGGGTGTAGGCTGATGCGACGGCGCGGGTATCGCCCGCCTATTATAAATTTTGTGAATATTTGCGATTGTACATTTGTAACTATAGTGCTCGCCGCTCCACCGGCGGGCTGCGGCCCCTGTACATAGTAGCGGCAGACTGATGTACAGAACATACGATATACTGTATACTGTAACAATAGTTGTACAGCGTCGACGCCGACTCCGGTGCTCGGCCGTCGCGTCACCGCGGCGTAGCGTTTATTGCGTTTCTAGCTCTTAAGTGTTCTAGTATTATTCGTTGTTCGTATGAATCTATGTATAAATATTTGAACGTCTCTCATTCTCGTGTAATTTATGAATCGAAGGAAAGCGGCGGTTACGGCCCCAGCGTTTCCATAATTTTAGCTCGTTGTAGATTAACTATTAGCTGGGCTAGGGGACCTTGAATCTTCTAAAGCGATAAAGAGATGCCGCAGGCAGTTCTGGACAATCGGCACTATAGTCGTGATTATTATATTATTATTTTGTACTATTCTTCAAGTCAAGCTCTCGTTTAAGTTATAAACCGGCTTTAAAATCGTACATAGCTTATCTCGTTTAGTGCCGGAGTGTATAGTTCGTCGATTATAATTTTGTGAAAATGATATTTTTGTATATTTTTTATGTAATTAATTTAAGTTATTTAGTTAATGAGTCTCCGAAAATGATCGGAGCGAGCGCTTACGAATGGGCGATGCTTATGTTAGTGTAGGCGCAGCTGTCCCGCGCTGCGCATAGGTTATAGTGATGATTGTAAAGTCCTGTACTGATAGTTGTAGTCCCGAGGTCTACCTTGCCGGTCGCACGTCACAAGCGTAGCTACTCCTCATTCCCCCTGTGTAATTAATTTTTATAGGAAGCGTAGTTTCCTACGTCACCTCAAGATTTTTTACGTTTAGATGTAATTGAAAATAAAATTATTGTATATGGCTGTACAAAAATGTTAACAAAATGATTTGTAAAACCCGTATGTGATGGAATAAGGCGAGGCGTCGAGAGCGGCGGGACGTGACTGATCGCGGCTCTGTACGTCGCGTCTTGTAGGTTGTACTAGATAACATTTATATGATCCATCTATTTAGACATTAATTATAATAAAGCATTTCTGTAATAATATTACAAAGAATCTGTTGTTTCAATTAACATACCCACGATTTTTTTAAGAGCTACCGAACTACCTTTCTTGGTAATTTGTAATTTTTAAGAACTGCGCATACGCATGGTAGTGAGGATTGATATGAAACCTGCTACAATGATATACCGACACGAGACGCTGGAAATCCTGAAATTCTAGGTGATGCAGCTTCACCGTTATGTCCTCCTCTGTTTTGTAAGTTAGTGCAGAGTTGGGTAAATTATTGGTATAGATGGCGCTGTGTGTATTGGTATATGTCACATAGGCTACCTACTTTTTATCCTTTTGTGAAGCGAGCGAAGCCGCGGGTAAAATAATTAATAAAGAAACAAAAACACGTAATAGCAACTTCTGTAACCAAAAAATAAAAATTCTGACACCTACATAGTCAATCTGGCTCAAATCATTGGCAAATATTGCAGGAGCGAGGGCTTTGCGAACATAATAAATATGGATTGATACATCCAATTGTGTAGTTTAATTGGATAAATACTGGATGCCCTTCGTTTGCCTAAACTAATCATTCAGGACTTAGGACATCATCAACCAAGTTGTCACAATGTCACCCAGAACCCGCTTTATCACTAGTCGTAACTCATGCCTTTGCATAGGACTAGCGAGTGTGCGTTACCCAGGCCAGATGTTGTCGAAAATTGTCATTTGAATCTTATAGATAATTAGTTGTGATTTTGTGAAGCTTCTGTAATTGTTGCGCACATTTTTAAATTTGTTGTGCTTATAGTTTTTTAATTATTTCACTAAAACATTTCCTACTGGGGTTTTTTTTTAACCTTTTGAACGCCAGAGCAAAAACGCATGAACTTGCCCTCAACGCCAGGCCACAAATTCACCGCAAATACCTACGAAAAAAATAGGGATTCCAAAACTTCATCGATAATCAATTTTATTTTCATTTTCGTCTTTAATTTCGAAATATAATGTCCTTATAACATTGAAATTTAATTCAACATTACATTTCTTCCTATTAAAGTAATAGGTATACACTATTTACAGACTTGTATAATACCGTAATAACAGATATGAGACTACAATATATTTAAATATAATAACTGTAGGTACAACACTATTCTTGATCTGCTGTCTTCATATTGTGACCATGGCGTGGACGGCCCGCCATTTTAATAACTACTTCGCTTCCGAAATAAGGATGTGGCAACGTAATATCTCGTTTATCGATGTTCTAGTACAATATTATTTTATAATAAATGAAACACGTTTTTTAAATCAGATTTATAATTCCGAATGTAACAGGTACTTAAAAATATATGATTGAAATAGGTTAAGAAGGTAAATAAAAACTATGAAAAAATAGAAAATTTTAATAAAATGTTATACAGTATGTACTATGTATACATGTTTTTAAATATTAAGTTCTATAAACCTGGCATAAAAAGTAACAAATTAAAACAATTAACGATTATATATAAAAGACCGAAAATTCTTCGTCATCTGAGACTCCTTCTAATATGCGAAGAAGTTCTTCCGTAGTCATTAAATTCCCACTCATTATAATAGTCACTTAATATAAATCTTGAACTCGATATCACAAGTAAATTAATCATAAATATTATTCATTCACTTCACTAATTTCTGGTCGCCGCGCTTGTGACGTCACGATATTGTCGTCTAGTCGTGACCATGGCGTACAGGGTACTGATAATTCGGGTTGCGTTAGGGATGCGCTTGAGTTGGGATTAGTGAATATCGAAATTCGACCCAACCAAATTTTATTTTTGACTATGTAGCTTATTGAATGATTTTTAAGACTGGTTTTATAAAATTAATGCTGTCGCAAGCCGAATTGGCCCACGGGCTTCCGGACGCCGCCACGCCTGCATTCCCGCTCGTTTCCGAGACTACGCACTGGAGGCGTAAGAGCGGGACAGAAGTATATAGAAAACGCGCCATGACATTCGGCGGCGCGGTGCCGAACGACGGAACGACCGTTACTTCAGTGAGTCGACGCAGGAGCGCGCGAGAGGCAGCGAGTGTTCGTGTCGATCGATCCGCCGCGCGTGCTCTCATAACGGTCCTACACGAAAACTGGCGTCCCAACGTGAGGGGCCTAATGTTACAGCATGGAGAACTAATAAACTCAGTGCCTATAGTGTGACTGTTATATAAACTCGTGTGTAAGTGTTTGTGTACCGCGTTGTGAAAATGCCGCGAACACGCAGACAACAATCGCTCAATGGCTCGCACGATGAAGAGCTGAACGACAGCATCACGATGTCTCGCGACAACTTTACCGCACTGCTGTCAACAATCCAGCAGTCCAATGCGGAGGTCTGCGAGCGCATGCTGCAGCGCCTGTCTACGACGGCGTTCTCTCCGGCCGCTCAGTCACCGGCGCCTACGCCGAGCGCGGCAGAGAAAACCGGCAACTTCGCACGATGCTCGTCCAGGTTCTCAGGTTTGGCAGAAGAAAATGTTGACACTTTCATCGATGCCATTGAAGCATATAAGGAGTGCACGAATATTTGTGATGACGTGGCCATAAAAGGCATGTCTATGTTGCTGATGAAAGAAGCGGCAACCTGGTGGCAGAGCATCCGTTCGGAAGTCTCGTCGTGGGAGGACGTTATCAAGTACCTTCGCGACGCATACGGAGATCGCCGCCCCGAACACAAAATATATAGAGAGTTATTTAGAGTCGAACAGGCCGATAATGTTCGCACGGACATTTTCGTGGCGCAGAGCCGAGCGCTTTTAACTCGCCTACCACCGGGCGACCTATCATTGAAGGTGCAGCTCGATATGGTTTACGGCCTGATTCATCGCAAAATACGAAAGCGTTTACGTCGCGAAGAATTCAATAACTTCTCAGAACTACTACATAAATCGAGACTGATTGAGGAAACCATCGCCGAGGCAACAAAAAAGGAATCGCTTGACTCCACAAAGCCCACAATACGCGCGGACCCGTACGGAGCACCCATCGCGCGACGCAGCGGTGGCAACGGAGCCCCGCCTCAAGCGCGCGCGCGCCCTGTTCCCGCGCGCGCTTCCCCGCACGACGAGCGGCCGCAGGCGCCGCAAGATACGCGCGGCCCGCCCGAGCGAGTTCCCGCGAAAACGACATCGGCGCCTTCGCGACCGCCAACGCGGCCGTTCTGCGTGTACTGCAAGAACTACGGTCACCAACGTGAACAGTGCCGTAAGTTATCTGACACGGCCACAGGTGAGTCAGCTGCTCATTTTAAAAACTCTGTGTCGTGTTATAAGTGCGGAACAAAAGACGTAACTCGTGATAATTGTAAAAAGTGCAATAACGAACAAAGTTTTTATATTAATCCTCGATGTGTTTCTGATCCAATACAAATGTCTCAACGTAATAATACCTTTATTCCGGATTCTGAAGCTGTAATTCCGGATTGTAAAGTTAATAAAAATAATGTTTGTACCTATTCTCGTTATAATAATAACCATGTTTGTTTTGATAACGCTCATAATAAATTAGGGTGCAAACACCAATTATGTACTTTGGTACCAAATAATACTATATGTTCCTGTGACGCTCGTGATGCACAACGGCGTAAAAGCGATTTTGGTACTTTTCAGAATGTTTTTAATAATAACTCTCGCAATGTAAAACGGAGTAACCATATTTTTTGTAATTTTATAGAAAGTGATTTTTATTGTCCACATATTAATTCTAAGGATTGTTTTATTAATTCTAAGGTGTGTATGTGTAGTGACACTTATAGTGTAGAGAGCACGCGCGCCGGTGATAGCACCGACCACGAACTTAAAAAAGTTTCGCGTCCGGTTTTCGATATAAACATCTTAGGCGCGTCGGGA